GAAGGAAATGGGTGAGGAGGGAGAGGGCGAGGAGGGAGGCGGGCGGGGGCGAAGGAGGGAGGGAGGGGAGAGGACAGGAGGAGGGAAGAAATGGGTGAAGGAGGGTCGAAGGGAGAGAAGGTGGGGGAGAAAGAGCGAGGCGAGATACGCAAAAAAAAAAAAAAAAAGGGAGAGAGAGAGAGAGAGAGAGAGAGAGAGAGGAGAAAAATGGGCAAAGGAAGGAGAGAAAAGAAGGGGGAAGAGGAGCGAGAAAGGAGGGGAGGGAGAGTAGGAGAGCTTTCCAAAGCGGAAAAAGAAGCAGCCAAGGAAGGAGAGGGAACGAGGGGAACTAGAGAAGAGGAAAGAAAAGGAGGGAGAGAGGAAGGAAACAAAGGAAGAAAGAGGTGCGAAGGGGAGAGAGGGAGAGAGGGATGAGGGTTGGAGTGAAGGGGAGAGAAGAAAGCCAGAACCGGGAGAGACACAAAGAAAAAGAAAACAAGAGAAACAGAGAAAGAGCAGAATAGCTAGCGATATACATGCGTACATGATTAAGCACACACACACACACACACACACACACACACACACACACAACACCACCACACCACACACACACAACACACACACACACACACACACACACACACACACACGCACACACACACACAACACACAAAATGTACACCCTTACTCACATACTTTTCCGAACACCGCCCATTGGAGCAATGTGTCTCAATATCCCAATATATTCCAATATATAATATCCAACATCTTGATTTTCCAAATTCCTTGTCACTTGAGCCTTTGTAAAAAAAAAAAAAAAAAAAAATTGTCATGCATGCAGGAAACACGATCTTAGAAGTGGATGTTACAAATAATTATCTTTCAGATTTTTTTTTATTTTTTTTTTTTTTTTTATAACAATTTCGTGTTCTTCCTCCTCTTCATCATCATCTCTCACTCTTCTTCCCATTAGCCTCCTCCTCTTTATACTATTTCACCCTTCCCATTTCTCTCTCTCCGCCTCGACTTCTCGCACTTCCCTTCTTCTCTCCTCCTTTCATACTCTCTCACTTTCTCCTTCTCTCTCCCTCCTCCATCTCTCTCACTTTCTCCTTCTCTCTCCTCCTCATACTCTCTCACTTTCCCTTTATCTTTTCTCCTCTTCCTTCTCATCATCATCATCTCTCACCCTTTTTCCTATTACTTTTTATTCCTTCTCACCATCTCTCCTCCTCTTCCTTCATATCAACATCATCTCAACTTTTTCTTATTGGAACTTCTCCTCCCCCTTCCCCCCATCCCTCCTCCTCCTTATCCTCGTCTCTCCCCCCTTCCGGCCCCACTACCTCCCCTCCTTCTCCTCCTCCTTCTTCTTCTTCTGCTTCTCCTCCTCTCCTTCTTCTTCTTCTTTCTCCTTCTTCTTCTCTCCTCTTCTTCTTCTTCTTCTTCTTCCTTCTTCTCTTCTTCTCCTCCTCCTCCTCTCCTCCTCTTCCTCATCTTCTTTCTTCTCCTCCTTTCTCTTCTTCTTCTTCTTCTTCTTCTTCTTCTTTTCTCTCTTCTTCTTCTCCTCCTCCTCCTCCTCCCCTTCCCCCTGCACCGCCCCCCCTGCCTCGCCCCTGACCGTCTTCCCCTCCCTCCCCCCCCCCCCTTCCCCCTCCTCTCCCCTCCTCCCCTCCACCTCCTCCCCTCCCTCCCTCCTCCTCCTCCCGTCCTCCTCCCCTTCCCCTTCACCCCTCCCCCCCCATTCACCCCCTCCCCTTTCCCCCCTCCCCCTTCCCCCCCTTCCTCCCCCTTCCTTCTCCTCCTCCTCCTCCCCCCTCACCCCCCTCCCTGCTCCGCCCCCTCCTGACCGCCTTCCTTCCCCTTTCCCCCCACTTTCCCCCCTACTCCTCCTCCTCCCCCCCCCTCCCCTCTTCCTCCCTTGTTCCGCCCTCCTTCCCCTTTCCCCCCCCTCCCTCCTCCCCTCCTCGCTCCGCTCCCCTCCCGCAGGTGATGACGGGCGCCGCCACCTGCTTCTACGCCTTCATCGGCTTCGACATCATCGCGACGACGGGCGAGGAGGCCGTCAACGCCCGCCGCTCCATCCCTTACTCCATCGTGCTCTCCCTCGTCATCATCCTCGTCGCCTACGTCACCTCGTCGGCCATCATCACGCTCATGGGTGAGGCTCCGGCGCTTTCGGTCTGTCTTTCGGGCTGTTTTTTCGTTTTTTTCGGTCTGTTTTTCGGTCTTTCGGTCTATCTTGCGTTCTTTCGGTCTGGTTTTTCGTTTTTTTTTTTGGTCTATCTTGCCTGGTCTTTCGGTCTGTCTATCAGTCTGTTTTCGGTTTTCGGTCTATTTTTCGTTTTTTTTTTTTTTGGTCTATCTTGCCTTTTTGGGCTTTCGTTCTGTCTCTCGGTCTTGTTTTTCGGTCTTTCGGTCTGTTTTTTCGTTTTTTTTTTTTGTCTATCTTGCGGTCTCCTTTTGGTCTTTCGTTCTGCTCTCGGTCTGTTTTTCGGTCTTTCGGTCTATTTCCCTG